AATTTTATTTATATTATCAATTTTTTGGTTTGTGTTCGGTAATGTTTACGTTTTTAATTTATATTTATAAAAATTTTATAAATTAATTTTTATTTATTTTTTATTTATATTTAGAAAAATATAAATTACAAACGCGTTTGGTAATTAACAAAATATTTAAAAATATAAAAAAGAGTGAGAAATGACAAGTGGCACTACAACATTTTCTTAGTTTAGTGACATTTGAAAGTGCTACAAAACTATTGGTTTAATGACATTTTTTAGTCTTATGGCATTTTGAACAAGTGCCATTTGTATCCGTGCCACGGTAGATATTAGTGTCACGATAGATACTTGCAAGTGCTACTACACCATCATGGCTAAAAACTTTCAATGACATTTTAATGTCATGATAGATATTATTTGTGGTACTATCAAGCAACATTAAAAAAAGAGTTAGTAATACTTATAAGTGTCATTACACCATCAAGATTAAAACCTTTTAGTGACACTTTAATGTCATGGTAGACACTATTCGTAACGCTATCATGTGCCATTCGTGACGATAATTCATTGTAGAACAATTTGATCCGCTCTTGCAGAGACTCGAATTGCCAACCTCCCGCACCATAAACCTTATACACCACACTCTTCCCACTACACCTTTATAGCACCACATAATTATATATGCAACATATATTATTTATATAGTACATACATTCATATTAACATAAAAGTATATGTATAAACATAAATATTTTATTGAACATAATTTATGTAAAATAAACTATTTACTAGCAAAATAAAAAAAAGACCACTTTTGGCGACAAAATATTTTTTAGTCGTCAATTCTATACTTTTGGTTACTAATTGTTTTTTAGTTGCTAAAAAAACTTAACTTTTGCCGACCAAAATCGGATTTGGTCGCCGAAGATGCACTTTCAGCTACCAAAATTTTGGTCGCCAAAAAATTTAATTCCCGCCTTAGGATTTTAGTTCTCCCTCGCTAAAAATGACCACTTTTGGTGACTAAACTTATTTTTTTGTCACCAATTGTAGACTTTTGGCTACTACAATTTTTTTAGTCACCAAAAAGCTTTACTTTTAGCTACTAAAATTTTTTAGTCGGTAAAACCCATATAATCAGCGACCAAACTTATTTTTAGTCGCCAATTGTAGACTTTTGGCTACTAAATTTTTTCAAACTTACTTTTAGTCGCCAATTGTAGACTTTTGGCTACTAATTTTTTTAGTCACAAAAAAGCTTTACTTTGGGCTACAAAAATTTTTTTAGTCACTAAAACCCATATAATCAGCGACCAAACTTAATTTTAGTCAGCGACCAAACTTAATTTTAGTCGCCAATTGTAGACTTTTGGCTACTAAAATTGTTTAGTTGCCAAAAAGCTTTACTTTTGGCTACTAATGCTATTTTGGTCGCTGAAAGCTATACTTTCAGCGACCAAATTTTTTTTGGTCAGGAAATTTAGTTGCCGAATGTGCTTTTTCCTGTAGTGTATATTGAGTTTTATTTATTTATTTTTAATCATTTACTGCACTTTAAAAATTTAGAAAATATATTGATATTTTTTATTTTTTCAAAAATGCCATTATAAGCTTGAAAATTTTTTGGCTTAGTGGCATTTCTCAAAATGCTATAAAATATTTGTTTATGATACTTTTCACCTAAGTGCCATAAAAAGTAATTTGCACCTATCTAGTATCCTAACATTTTTTAAAAAATGCCATTGTGACTAAAGTTTAGTGGCATCTGTTGATAAATGTCACGAACATAATTTTTTGTCATTATTTTATAAAATGTCATAAAATTGATGTGACATTTCTTTATTGAAATGCCACTATAGAGCCTTATATGTTTGCGGTTCTGTGGCATTTTTCTAAAACATTTAATGTCAATTTTTATTTTTGTGACATTTTCTAAAAACATGCCACTAGTGTAGTGTCACTAAAGTGTAAATTTGTTGTAGTGACATTTTTGTTGTAGTGAAGTGACACTTTTTTTAATTGAAATGCCACTAGAGCAGTGACATTTTTTTAAAACATGCCACCAAATATTCATTTTGAGAAATTTTTTAAGAACATGTCACTAGTATAGTGTCACTAAAATGTGTTTTTGTTGTACTGTGGTGGCGGAAGACAGTGGTGGAAAGTGGTGACGGTGGGTGGTGGGTAGCAGGTGGTGGTGGATGGTGGCGAGTGGGTGGTGGTGGTGGCGGTGGCGATGGCGGGTGGTGGGTAGCAGTGGCAGGTGGGTGGCGAATGGCGGGTGGTGGCGGGTTGGGGGTAGTAGTGGCAGGTGGGTGGCGAATGGCGGGTGGTGGCTGGTGGTAGCGAGTGGGCGGTGGTGGGTGGTGGTGGTGGCTAAACTTTTACACTTCTCTTCTTTGTTCTCTTAAGATAAATTATTTTGTTGTTTATATAAAAAGTATACAATAAAATTGGTAAAAAAAAAAGAGTGAAAATAGGATTGTTTAAATCGGAACACAACATAAATATTTTACTTCTTACATATAGATTTTTGTAAGCATTGGACATCTTCAACAATTACTTTGACATAATTGATGCACAAATCCAATACTAATGCCAATCATACTAGTTGGCGAGTGGTATGGGTGGTGGTGGTGGTGGTGGCGGCGAGGGGTGGGCAGTGGTAAAAGTGGGTGGCTGGTGGCTGGTGGGTAGTGGTGGCGGGTGGCTGGTGAGTGGTGGTAGCAGGTAGTGGTGGGGGGTGGGTGATGGTGGCGGATGACGGGTGGTGGCTAGTGTTGGGTGGTAAAAAAAAAAACTTAAAACTCAAAACGGAAACACATTTTTTAAGTTTACATTTTTTGACCAAATTTATAAACTGAGACCACTGATTTATAAATCAAAAATTTACCAAATAAGTTTTTATTTAAGTTTTTTAAACTTTTGTAAATATAAATAGAAAATTAAAAACGTAAGTATTACCAAACAGCACCTAAGATTATATCATCTGTTTACTTTTTATACGGTTTTTTTTTTAATAAATTAAAAAAATCAGTATAAGTCACTTTCCAAAACAACCTACTCACTTGAATGGACCACTGCAATGGGGTACTGGTCTTCAAAAATAGGATGGTGAAAGCCAAGATGAAAATCTTGAACATTTTTTTAATGAAAATTTCCAGGAAATCATATTAATTGAATTTTTTGCACCCTTGCAATATTTATAGTAAGTTTTCTTGTGTAAATACATATAAGGGTAAACTTTACTTTATTCCTCTGTGGTTTGGGTCGGATGTAGATTATCCCTTGGTATTCGAAAATCACTGCATAACCCTTTTGTGGTTGGTGGACTAAAACGCACATTAACTTCTGTTAACTGAAATTATAAATTGACAGTTATATCCTTCTTCTCTCTGTCTCTTCCCCTCTTCTTCTTCATCACACTCAGAAGTGTTATACCCTTCTTCTTCTTCTTCGTCTTCTCTCTTTTTCTCTCTCTCTCTGTTCTTTCTCTTTCTCTTCTTCTTCATCTATACCCATTCAACAAATTTTTATTTCCATTCAACAAAACACTTGATTTATCTTCATGCTACCAACTCTAACACACACACACACACACACACACACACACATATATAAACCTGCAAATTACATATATAATCTATATATTCCTAAAATCTGTTAAGCCGTTTAAGATCAACCTATATTAAAAGAAATATAAAAAAATATATATAGTTTTTATGAAGTGTATATATATGTATATATTCATTGTTATATATTTACGAGGTTTGATATGCAATTTAAGAATGAGCTCAAGAAAAAAAAGAAAAAAAAAACCTGTAGATCTAATGATGCAATTGATGCTAGTTTCGAAAATTAAAACCAAACAGGCCTTAGTTTGTTTATGTTGAATCAGATGTAACCTTGTGAATTTGATTATTGAGGTTTGTTGATTTGGATTATGTGCAGAAAGTGTGGCTGGATAAGAATATAGGAAACCTTTTGTTTGTCAATTTCTTCAAATGGGTTGGCAATTACTGGAATTGATGATTAGAGATATTGAAACCGTATTCCGACCAATGAATCTAGGTGAGGACTTGAAATCGTTGTTGATTTTTGTTGCTTCTGTGGGTACTTTGAATATATACATATATATAGCTACAGATTATATATATATACACATTAATTTTTTATAGAAATTATGTTGTTTAAATTAATTTAGGTTTTTGTTTTGGGTTGTAATTTTAGAGAGAGAAGGAGGAAGACCCATGGCATGCCTTTGCAAATTTAAAGATGTTCAAGGGGTATTTTGGTCTTAAAATGTAACTTAATTTTTGTATGGACGTTTGAACTACACAGCTCGTTAACTTGGATGGGAAAGTGAATAGTGCGTTTCAGTCCACCAACCACAACGGAGTGATGTGATGATTTTCGAATGTCAAGGAAGTAATCCGCACCTGACCTAAACCATAAGAGATAAAATAAAGTTTGCCCTACAATAATTCTCTTCATTAATATATATATATATATATATATATATATATAAAGTGGAGTGAATTATACCCGCAATCCTTGTAATTTGGTTCTTGTAATTTTAATTGCATTAATTTTATTTTTAAAATTTTTCACATTGTATTAGTTTGACATTTGTTAAAAAGTTTAGACAAAATTCAATGGCAAAATGATTTATCGGAAAGAGAATGACAACAATTTACCTTTAATTTCAGTCAAATTTCTAAAATCTTTATTAATTACATTAAATTGACATGTGAAAAATTTAACCGTAAAATAAATACAATTAAAATTATAATGACTAAATTGACGCAAAAGACAAATTTGCCCTTCAAATCAAAAGTGAAATAAAATGATAAAATATATTCAGGGATAAACATCATTTGCTTTTTCATGTATTTAACACATGATTGTACCCAATCCAAACATTACTGTATTTTATATCTATATATGTTCTACATCATCCCAACATGCTTCAGTTTCATCTCATGCAAAAACAACTGCAATAATTCAATACTACATTAATTAAAGTAATTAAGTCTATTAAAATCTATATAACATGTCACCTTTAATTTCATGGTTACAATTTACAAAGGACAAGTAGTAATTTATTTCTTCACGTACCTCATCACATAATGTACATTGAAAATATTTTCTCTCTTCAAAATACTGAACAATAATAATAAATAACATCAAAGAAAAACCTTCCAAACATATATCTCGCATCCAAACAATCCTCATCAACAAAAACATGAAACTCTCTACCTATTCAAGAAAGGGGTAATCTTGATAACCAGGCCAGGGAAAACATCATCCGGATCATGGATATGCGGATTCTCTTCCACAATAAAAGGATCACCACACTTTTCGCCTATTGTTTGCAAAGTATCTCCTTCTCTAACCACGTAAATCTCATCGCACGGCTTGTTCATCATCATGTCCTTTCCTATCATCTCAATCGTGTATTCGCTTTCAGTGGAGTCACAGTAGCTCAAAACCAACATTAGAGCCAAGAACATGGCACAGTACCATGACACCGTCTCGGCTAATGCAGTTGATGAATGAACATGTGCCATGACTGAAACTCAATAAATTGTGATATGGGTATTTCAAGTTTATAGGTTTTGAGTGTTTTTGAAAAGCATTGGATTGAAGGGTATTTCTAGGTTTTTGCTTTTATGTATTTTTTTGGGGTATAGAGGATTAGGAGGTGTAGTTTTTCGTGGTGCAAGTAAGAGATGATTATGATGTTTGTTTCTACTGGTTGTTGGAGTTGGTGTGCAGTTTATGGCGGGAGTTGAAACGGTTCCTTCAGTGTAGTAGGTAACTGTCGTGAGAAAGAAACTGTTACATTTAATTTTAAATTTTTAAATTTTTTTTTTTATTTTCAATCTGTATTATTTTCCATTTAGTGAATTTTTTTAATATTCTAATAATTTTTTTTAACTTTTTAGATTCACTTAATTTAGATACGTTTAAAAATTAAAATATTTGTGAAAAATCTAAAAAATATTAAATTTTTTGTATTTAGTTAATTTTTTAAAGATTTTTTTTTTACACAAATTTTGTATCTTTTAAGCATTTTTAAATTAAGTGAATCTAATAAATAAAAATTTGATTAGAATATTAAAAATGTTTAAAAATAAAATAATACGGATTGAAAACTCAAAATCAAATAGAGTAAATATAAAAAGTAACAGAAATTGTATACAAAATGATGCGATTGTATTGAGATTTATCATTTTAAAATAAAGTGTTAATTTAAGTGATATTTAATTATAAAAATGTTACTGTTATATTATTTTGATCATAAATCCTATATAAATAATTTTTATTTAAACATAATAAGAGAGGTGAAGTTTCTTTTATATTGAAAGAGAGGTGAAGTTGGTTAACTGTTTTTGTTAAATGGGCCCGGTGAGGCCCAGCAATGAAGAGGGATTTTGACTTCTTGTTCCGTTTAGAGTTTGAATAACCTTCTTGACTTTATAATATCTCACGGGGATTCTATTTGCGCGCCAAAAAAAGAAAAATAAACAAATAAAATTAAGTACTCTTAGTTTTTAAGTATATTTTATTTAATTATTTAAAATTTTATTTTACTCTCATTATATTTTATTATTTTTTTTAAATTATCCTCAATGTAAACTCAAATAATAAATAACAAACAAATTAAAAAAATTAAATTATTTTAAAAACTTTTCAATATAAAAAATAATTCTCAAATACAGAAAAAAAAAAACTAAACTTATAAACACACAAACATTATAAAACCTTTTAATACAGGAAAAAAAACTTTTATATTATAAATTATTCACAATAATAATTGTGAACAAATAAAAATCAAACTTATAAAGATATAAGTATCAGGCACTAACAACATAGAAGTTCTCAAATAATATACTATTTAAATAATAAAATAAGAACAATTTCAATAATATGTTATTGTTAATCTAATTATTAGGCCTTTTAATTTTTGTCAAAAAACGATATAGAAAATAATTGATAGTGCTTTACAAAAATTATGAAACCCCTTTATATGAATACTTACCTCCTTTTTGATGGGTTGTTTCAAAACATTATTTTGATTATTACTCCCATCTATTATTTGATTTTGTTCAAATTTTCTTTAGGGTTTAGGGTTTTAAAATAATAAAAAATAATGATGTTGATAATAATGATGAATTTTAGTAGGATGGATTGGAGTTTTGGAGGAAAGAAAAAGAAGAAGAAGCTTAAGTAAATTTGATCTCTTAGGGAAAAATATACAGAAATTTGAATAGAAATAACTGATTAGGATGTACCATGAGAAAAAAATAAATATTTTAGGATTTAATATGTATTGTTCTTATTAGTAAATTCATATTAAGATATACTAAAATTTAAAATTTATGAATTTAAATTAGACGTATTGAGACATATTTTAGATTCACATAGAATCCCCCATATCTCACAATCAGGATGTCTTTATTCAATGCTGAAATGAAATCATATGTATGTTCATAAATTTTATTTTATTTTATTATTTTAGTAATAAAAAGATAAAATAGATTAAAAATCAATAAAATAAAATATTAAATATTAAATATTAAATCTAAATTATAATTATTTTATTTTTTTTCTCATAAAAATTAAAATAATTAAAAAATTCTTCACAAACGAAATATATCATAATAACTTAAAAAACTAAAAAGTTAACAATCTAACCCGCATCTCAAACGACCGAATGCTACATCTGATGAATGGAAGAGTTTGCTTGCCAACTGAAAAACTAAAAAAAGTTAAACAATCTAACCCGCAACTCAAACGACCGAATGCTACATCTGATGAATGGAAGAGTTTGCTTGCCTTTCAAATGATAGTTGTGCAACAAACAAAAATTAATATAAAATATACATAAATGATATTTTTTTTTTTTTTATAGATTTTATTAATAGATTTCACAACTAAAATATGTTATCAAACTATATATACACATTGCATCTAATTTTACGATTAAGTTCTATATTCTTATTATGTCTAATCCGTATACATATTATGTCTTATTCCATAATATCCAAAACAATGGAATGATAGTGGCTCTTCTTGTTTCAATATAAGAATAAAAATACAATAGTACTGGGTCTGGTCTCCAGTACAGGTTTGAGACAGTTCAGTTCAGTTCGGTTTGGCCCATTAACTTTATTTTTAGATCTCTTTTTGATAATCTGAACCGTTTATATTTTAAGATTTATTGAGTATATTATTCATGTAAAAAATAACGTCGATCGGATAACGAATACTATATATTCGGATCACTCTAAAAAAAAATGAATGGTCATAAAATTAACGTTTCGTAAAAAAATGATCCAAATACATAGTGTTTGTTATCCGATCAACGTGATTTTTTTACAGGGATAATGTACTCAACAAATCTTAAAATGTAAACGGTTTGAATTATCAAAAAAAGAGCCAAAAGTGAGTCCAATGGGTTGGACTGGACCCTCTAATTCAAATGGTGAACTGGAGGCAAGTCACTGCCTTATTTTTAATATTTTTGAGTTTATACATTCAAGCTTAAATATTTTTGGGCAAAAAAAACAATGATCTGTCCAAAAGAGCACCTATTTGCCCAAAACTTATATATCTGTCCAAATGTCACATATTTGTACACGTACACATGTCATCTATCTATCTAATGTCACTTATCTATTCACTTCACCGCCAGTAGCCATAGCTAACCATCGTTGGTGGGTTGTCGACGACTTGTTCGGCAAATTTTCATGTGTCGATCACTTTTTTAGTTATTTTTTAACACGTGCTTATTACAAAAAAATATTAAACTTTAAACCAAATAATATATGGCCACGCAAGTTTGGACTTTTCATCAATTAATCCAAAATGCAATGGGCACATTTTATTTATTTTTTAGATAGTAATGGCCACATGAATCATAATAAGATAGCCACAATGTGAAATTATATATATATATATATATATATATCTTAGTCCTTTAATAGACAAAACAAACACAACGTTATGGGTTTCACAATCTAATTTAATTGAAGGACTTCACTCATAAGAGCTAAGTTCAATTCAATCAAATAACTGTGGTCACAAGATGACACCCTTGTGAGAAAATTCATTACACTGAATCATAATTCCCCATATTAATAGGCCATAGATTCAAAATTTCGAACCCATATAAATGTTTGTGCTATGGTCACTAGAAAGTTACTCCAAAAGCCAAATAATTAATCTACTCCACCAATATTTATATATTCAAATAATGCTAGAGACCATGAAAAACATATCATGAGATGTATCATGAAATTTTTTCATCCTTTGATTAATGTGTGGTGTTTTATTGTATGTGTAATCCAAAGGTGAAAAACCTTTCATGATCATTTTTATGATATTTTTTTTATGATCCCTAACATTATTCTCGGTTTCTAAAATTCTGTCATGCAATTGGAGAGCTTTTCATTACCAAATTAAAAAATAAACCAAAAAAAAAAATTAAATTAAATTAAGAAAGGAGGCTTGACAATGATCAAAAGAAGACTCAACCCAAGTAGAGCAGTGTTGGTTAGGTGAGTGGGTCTTGTTTGGCGGGTTTTCAAGAATGACTTTGTTTCTAGTTTACAAGAACTTGACCCTAGTGTACATTTCTTGACGTTTAATTTACTACATATTCGTACAAGGTTGCTTGAAAAGAACAAGGTATATATTACCCAACATTTCATGAGTAGAATCAAGTAATATACAGTTGCATATCAACCTTGAGTAACGAAAATGCTATGATATGTACTTTTTAAATTATATTTTTGCAGTGAAAGTTATATTATTCTATGAAATTATTTTTTTCACTAGGTAGATGTTAGCAAGGAGTAGAATTGACTTTTTAGTGATTTTTTGATTTTTTTTATGAGGTGAAAAGAAGCATATGCTTTCAGAATGAAGTGATTATTTAGTGGTTTTAAAGTATTGTTCCAAACCATTCATTACTTGATACTTGTCTAGTTATTTTCCAAAAACTTAACAAAGTATCGGATCTATTGTTTTAATCAATCAATGCATGCCAAGTAGAGCACTGTATGGGTTTGTCCCAGATGTAAAAAATAATTTCTTTTGAGAATGACTTTTTCCTAGTTATATTGAAAACCATGAATCACTGAGGTTTTTTTAATTATCTGATTTTTGCTGAAAAGGCAAATAAACAAAATAGTAGTAAATTTTACCAACCATCCAAACTTTTCAAACTATAATTGCTTACGCATGAAATTTCAAATCCAAGCCAAACACGTTGCAAATTAATTTTGTCAAATTAGAGCTTGGTTTGGCAACGATTTTTTTTCTAGCTTTTTCTTTTTTCTTAGTGAACAATTTTCAGTTTTGCATCCCCTCTTTTTTTAAAAACAACTTTTAGGCGTGTTTTAGACTTTAGTCATCTCTAAAAAATAAAAAATAAATAAATAAAGTTTAAATTGAAAAAAGTTCACTAAAAAGAAAAACAAGTCAATTTTATCGTAAAAAATCAGCTTCTTTTTTGTTTATCTTTAGTGGCTTTTTTTTGTCCCCTCAATTTCAAGCAGGTTTTTCAAATTTATTCTTAGAGGATTTTACTCTAAATAAATTAACCAAATCAACTTAAAACTTAATAAAGTAAATTTAAAAAAAAAAAAATCATTGCCAAACTTAAAAATTACTTTAATGGTGTGTTTGGTTGGAGGATTTGAGGAGGGATTTAGAAAGGGAAAGGGAAAAGGTGTGTGAAACTATGTGAAATTTAGGCATGTTTTATTCATATTTCACCTACCTTTTCTATTTTTCTTTCCAAATCCCTCCTCAAATCCCTCAACCAAACACAACATAAAGATAGCATACATTGTTTCTTAATGACGTGGTCATCATCAACATGGTAAAAATTAGAATTCAAAAGAAGTTAATTAGTAGGCATGGCCATTAGAGAAAGAGGTTATGTTTCGATAATGAATTTCAATAGGAATTTAAAAAAAGAAAGTAAAAATGTGACGTAAATATGAATAAAATATAAACTATATTTTTTTTTTTTTTTTCATTTCCTTTTCTTTTTCTAAATTTCTATTCAAATTTATGATCTGAATGTTGTAGACCATGATTTAAAATCTCCAAAAGAGACCAACAAATTGAGACGGAGCGAGTTTATATCAAGGATTCAAGCCAATTAGAAGCAGCACAAAGACTTTGTTTACTTCTCTCAACCAGTGTCATTAAGACCAAGTTAGGTTGATGGATTTGGAAAGCAAAAAGGAAAGGTGTATGAAATTATATTTTGTTTATATTTCACTTATATTTATTTTTTTTTTAAATTTCTATTCAAATTTATGATCTAAACAAAAAAGTAACCAAATAGGAGGAGGTTCAGCATATGAGATTGAACATTTAAAATTAGTGTTCCAAAATTCAAAATAAATACTGTTTTTTGTTTTTTGGGTAAGTCGTATTTATTTACCAAACTGAATGTTGTAGACCATGTTGGTCCAACATTTTATATGTTTCGTTGGACTATTTCTCATTATTTCGAGCATCTTTAACCTCCAACCTTCAAAGGATAGATTAAAATTATGTGTCAATTGATAAAAAGAGTAAAATGAAGCTCATAAAGGGTGACTCACAATAAAATATAAAATTAAAAAAAAAACAAAAAATATATACCATCGTTAATGACCCTTCAGCGCGTTTGGTATTTACGTTTGCCATTTTTGAAAACAGAAAAACAGAAACTAGTAGTTTGACAAACTGTTTTAAGAAAACATAAATTATTTTTTCAAGATTGGGGTTGTCATTAGAACTACTAACAAAGAACTAAGAAAAACCAGCATGGGGTCAAAGACAATCCAACTTTCATTTTCAAACTTTTTCAAAACATTCAAAAGAGTGAAGAACACAACTTGCATACAAGTCAGGGTTTCATCAACAGTTGCTTAACATAATTAAGAACTTCGTCTGTATTCACCGTCCACGCAACTGAAACAGGGGAATAGCCCGACCACGGGTTGCTTGAATTCCATCTGTATCATATTATTACAACAGAATTAGAAACAATACGAAAAAATAAAAATGACTATAAGATGCACTGTGAAAAGCATTTTACATTAAACCTACCTTTTTAGTCCTTGGTCCATAAGTGTATGTCCTAAACATATCCCCTGTGTCTCAACTCGCACAACCCCCTTCTTGTAAGTAAAGAGATCAGGCTGAACTAGTGCCACAAAACTGACTGGGCCATGAAGGAAAATACCTAAAATCATCATTTCAATCAAGTTCATAAATGGAAGTCGGTTAAGAAATATTTTATCTTAAAAAAAATAAAAATAAAAAAAATAAAAAAAGGTGTCATTTTAGGACTATTTAACATATGAATACAAGATTTAGAAGATTACCATGGACTCCATCAGACTTTACATGCCAATCTCCATAAACTTTGCACATGTTGCTTATAAATTGAGCATGTCTTCCCTCGGACTGCCTCAATTCATCAAGGTCAGCATCTGAAATTTCAAGGTAGAGTTAATTTAGAGGAGAATAAATTCCATAAAGCACAATAGAAAGGATAAAATGGGAACAAAGAAAAATAGAGTGTGAAGTAAGACCTGTCATTTTGACTTGAGTTGTTATGTTTATGCCAACAACAACAACATCTGCCCCAGATGTAAACACAACATCGGCTGCTTCTGGGTCCCCATAGATCTGCAAGTCAGAAAAGCAAGCTTTTTCAAATAAGCTGAAATTGAATGTTATTTGCTAAAAACTATTCCATTTGGATAGACAGATTTCAAATGAAGGGATTTAAGGTTAAATTTCATAAACATATTGAGAAAGTAAAGAGGAACATTAGAGTAAAATGTGTTTTATTATGATCTTTGTACAATTAACTATTTTACATTGCTATTTCAAATCCATCATGGTGAGGCTCACCAATTCAATCTTGAAATCCATATCTAAACTATGGTATCTAAATTGGAGCTATCCTTTTTAAATGATTAGTGCCCAAAACCTTTCATTTAAAATCTATAAATACAAACACAAAAACTAGTTTCCTTCAATTGCAGCTTACAAATAGATTTCAACATTGATCATGTTGGATTGGATATGGCAGTGAAACTACTCTGGCTTAAAAGAGAGATTACGAGACTGCCACTGAAAACTAACAGTTATGGCTTCGAACAAATTTATTTCATGAGATGGAACGTGCCCAATAGGTGTTCAAGTTTTCTACACTTCCAAATCTAAAAAGATTCAATACATCTAAGAGAGAACTGTACGATAAAATAAGGCATGTTCTGTTTCATACCATATGGAAGAGGAGAACGTATTGTCGAGGTGGTAATCACTTACATTTGCTTCAGCAGCAGGATTGACATTCCCCAATGCAAAGAAAGATCCACCAAGAATCACCACTCTCTTAACCTTGCTTGCAAAGGATGAGTCCCTCTTCATTGCCTGATCAAACAAACGCATGCTTCTTGAGTGTAAAGGGTACACACCCAAAAAATTTGAAGATCTCATTATTTGTGAGAGTGAACGGAAAGGGAAGATATTAAAACTTACTAAAGCCAAATTTGTCAATGGTCCCAGCGCAAGTATGGATACTTCACCAGGATATTTAGAAACCATATCCACCAAAAATTCTGATGCCGTTTTGTCAATTTTCTTGGATTTTGGAGGAGGTAAGGAAATGTTCCCTAATGCATCTGAACCATGAACAAAGTCTGCAACACGTGGTCTTCCACCCTAGTAAAGCACAACACAATTTTGAATCTTCACCTAACTAATGCATTGAAATGTAGGCATCCCAAATTTGCCTCCTAACTATACCAATTATAGTCGCATCAAACAACACTGCAGTGCATCCTTAACTTTTCAAAATCAACAAACAATTGCAGAAGTGGAGAATACCAGACATAAGGTAACCTAAAAAAAAAATAAGCCAGATGTAGTATGTGTAATGATAATCACCAATCCATACTGTACGTAGCCTCCCCTTATCGGGCCATCACTGTCTGATGTTAACTATTCCATTCGAAGTATGCCTAATGTGTAGGTTAGATGTTTCAAGGGAAAAGCTAGTGTGGAAATAAGCCAATGCATGCATTCAGATAGTAGCAAGTATGATGCACTTGTGGCAACAAGCCTTTCTCAACTCCTAAAATCCAGAGTAGCAATCTGTCTTCACGGTATTCTCTTTACTCCAAAAAAACTAAGTGTGACACTAAAAATATTGGATTGAAGAAGGACATGGTTTTCCCAATTCCAACCCCAATGGTTAACTCGACAGGTAAGGCTTTGGGAGACACCCAAGGCCCAAGCTCCCCTATTCAAGTCTTGGGGCCACCTACAATAGGGCATAAGCCCTATGACTTAACTGAAGTGCATGGTCTGTGGAGATAATGGTGACTGAGGGAGGTTTATGGTAGATTAGAGGTTCCATCAAGGTTTGCTAAACCATGGGTTCCTCCTCATCCAAAATAAAAAATAAAAAAATTCCAATGCCCATTCTAAAGTTGCTTTCTCAACCAACTTGCTATCTCAAACAAAAACTCAACATAGTTAAAAGTTAGAGCCTCATCTTCCATACGAAGGTTCAAATGCCTGAGAAAAGGGAGCTTGTGATAGGTACACAACTAATGTACCCTTGAGTAAAACCTTCGTAATCTCAAAGGTCAAGAAAGCGATTGTAGACTAAGTAGCATGGTGTTAAAGGATTCATTAAACTAATCCCTAGTAGTTTATAGTCTTCATTCAGTTGAATCCGAGTTGTGTAAAAATCTAAAAAACATATGGTGGCGCAATAAAATGTACCGCAGATAGCTTGTGATTTTATTCCATTTAACCTAATTAACACAAGCTTGTTAGAAACTACATAGTCACGTCATCCCATTCAAACCACCAGTAGAGGGGCTGTTTGTCTTTGAGCAACACATTTGGTAACATAATAAAAAAATGAAGCATTGTTTAAACAAATTTTCAAAAATCCATGTGAAATAAAACCAACTTTTTTTTATGTAGTACATATACACATACAAAATATCATGTTTTTAGTCCTACATATGCAACCTATGTCTGGCCACAACCCGAAATCAAAACTGGTGGAACCTTCTAGCATTTCAATAATCTATTTGATCCATATCTGAAAGTACATTAATGAAGTGATTCAACTCAAATTCGAACTCAACTACATAACCAAAGATTTCACTACAATGAAGAGAGAGAGAAAGAGAGAGAGAGAGAGAGAGGGCAAAACAAATATGTCACTATGATGAAGAATGGTAGCAATAAAGTTAGTTTCCTGATTATTTGTTAGAAAGAGAAGCTATTCTGATCACATATGTTCCGCCAAGGAAATGCTACTAACTGAGAACATGGATCTGTATATTCTTGTCTTGTTCTAGAAAAGTTGATTCACTAAAACATAAACAATTTAGTCTAAAATAGGTATGAATCATGGACAAGGTATTTTGAGATAACCAATGCATACTCCATAAAAAAAATAAATTTTAGAGGTAATACGCTGAATGTAATTGTTCTTGAAGGGCTAATCAGATCATCACTGATGGACAACAATCTCATTCACTTGAAGTCACCTGCTTTTTTGGTTGTCCATATAGTCATGCTATAGATCAGGCTTCGGAGTTGTATGAAAACAGGGAAGGAAACACCTCTTTGTGTCAGCTAGGCTTTCCCACCAACCCACCACCGAGAGAGAGAGAGAGAGAGAGAGAGAGGGGTTTGACAAATTGAGCATGTTATTAGAAGGGGGAAAAAAGGTTTTGGCACAGTCCAATTGTGGAGAAGGAATGAAGGACAACTCGTTGATTAAGCTACAAATTATATGTAAAAGCAGTTACCGTCAAAGGCTCAGGGGTACCCTCTGCCACAGGAAGACCTGGACATCCAGCAATCTCACACTGTCATTTTGAACATTAAAAATAGTTATTGGTCATGAACATGTTCCAAAAATATGAAAGACCTGAAATTATGCCAAAGCATGAATTACTGTGTTGGTAAATAGAATAAACTAAACACATACCAGAAGCAATGCATTGCGAGTGGCATCTTCTGTAGTAACATTACCAAATATTGTGGTTAAGCCTAAAACCTCCAGCTGTGGACTTTGGAATGCCATGAAGATTGCCATGCTATCATCTGTAAATCAATGAAAACATCAGTCACACCTCACAAATGACACCTGACAGTCTTGTTGGCACACATAATTTAACATGAAGCTATAACAATTTATAAGGATTATGTATCTAATTTGGACACAACAAATAATAGCCTAGTATTCGTTGTCAGGTATTTTTTGCAATAATCTCAATTTGATAATATGAAATTTTTTGTCCTGATGTCATTCTTTCCAAGACTAGCAAAACACTGAATGTCTTATAAAATGAATTTTTTATTTATTTCAGGAAGAAACAGGCATAAAGTGTATATATATATATATATATATTATTTCTAGTTCTTTTTGTCACAAGGGTCCTGGACAATCTATCCATTTCTCATTTTCTGACAAATGTTTAATAAAATACCCAAACAGATACATAACCATTTAAGGAAATGTGGGTTCGACAAAAAATGACATTCATGGAAAAATCCATCATGTCATCCGTTTAATAAAATATCCAAAAACATATACAAAACCATAAAGATTTGATTGTTCGATGAAAAATGGGTCCTTGACAAATTCATGGAAAAAAGTTCTCTTTCCTGCTCCACTCATGATCTCATCAAAAAGATTTGTTTTTTTTAATGAATGTTTTATCATGAAATAGGGAGAATTTGAGGCTATATGCTGTACATCTGTTTGATTAAGGAAAATTGTATCTTCCAATTTTATCCTTTGCTTCTATGGACCATGCTGTTAGCATTTGGCAAGTACAATTATGGTTTAGAAATCGAATTATGCGTTATTGTTTTGTTCAAAAAGGGAAAAGGAGAGGGCCAAAAAAAAAAAAAAACAAGTACTTCCGAAATGCTCAAGCAATGCCCTAATTTTGTTTAAAAAGTGAGCAACTTCAAAGCAAAGAAACAAGTCTAGTCAGAAAAATTCTCAGTAAAGCAAAGCATAACCCTTTAATTTTTAGAGGACATGCCTACAACAATTGGATGAGGTGGCTTTGCCCATAGTTCTCTCTCCAAGTTCACTGTAGGACATGAGACAATTCCTAGATGTTCACTCCTTACAACTATGTTTGCTTCAGCTTTTAAGCTTAAAGTTAATCAATAAAGGGAATCTCCCCCCTTACTTTCACCTAATAAAAAGAAATTTTAACTTAATTTTTAGTCACCAGCATAATTAATCCATTTCGTTCTATTTGTTTATGACCATTACCTTATCGTTCCACCTTGTTTCGCACACTTTGATGCAAATAGATTAATTTTGTTCCTTTGTGAGATGCTTTGCTTTGATTTGCTTTTTCTCTTACTCTTTCTCTTTTTCAATCTAAAGCAAACATTTTTTTGGCTTTCTACAAGCTCAGCTCAGCTCATTTTAGACAGATCCGATCGTATGTTCATAATATGGAGTAAAAGGATTCCAAAATTATGGATTTGTAAAAGACACCAAGCTTCGAGTAAATATTAGGCATGACGCTATTTGCTGTAGTAGAGGTTACATTATTGAATTGGATTCAGAAATAAATGTCTATCTAATCTTATTTGAGATCTTCTATTGGCAGTGTCACCATTGCATTCAATATATATATATATATATTTACTTCTAAGTTGTATCCATATGAAGCAGGCCTTATTTCATTTTTCCGACTCAACTCTGCACCGAAAGTGTAGTGTTTTTCTGCTATCTATACAATTAAAATCAATTATGCTGTGTGTTTGGTTGGGTGATTTGGGAAGGAAAATGAAAAAGTTGTGTGAAATTAGGTAAATATAAGTATATTTTATTCACATTTTACCTACATACTTTTTCTATTTTTCTTTCAAAATTCCTTCTCAAATCTCCAACCAAACACAACCATACACAGCAAATCTCCAACCAAACACAACCAAACACAGCATTAAAGCTTCTCTTCTTTCTCGAGAACCGATCGATATTAAAACTAGAAACTCTCAACCGAAACTTATTAAAAAAAAAAAACCGAGAAATTCATGTAAATCAAAGTTGAAAAGTAGTAAAATTATGCACAAGTGAGAAAGGAGAAGAAAGAAGAGCGATGATGAATTGAGGAAACGTAGAGAGGACAGAATCGAATCAAAAGAGTACGGACTTACGAATACCTGTATCTGTATCGATAATGATCTTCTCCTCCTCGCCAAGTTTACTGGAACTCATTTCTTTTCTTTTGTAGGCCCCCGGCCACCACAAACATTATTCTCTCTGTCTCTCTCTTTCACCTCGGAAATGACTATGTATTTGTACTTCCACTAGCAGAGTGGTCAACAAATGAGTAATAATTAAAACCCACGCCCACTCTAATTACATGTTATAAATTCGAATTATTTATGATGTGAATTTTAAATATATATATATATATATATATAAATGGATCTTATATATATAATATTTGGGCAAATTATAAACACCTTCTCGAAATTTAGTAAAAATATAAGTTCTCTCTTGAAATTTAAGAAATTACATTCCGTTCCCTAAAATTTATATTTTCATAATAAATTGTTTCTTGAAATTTTTATTTTCATACAGATTCTTCCTTAATTTCTCTTAATTTGTTATGAAAATTTGACCTTCAGAGAGCAATTTATATAATTTCTCAAATCTCAAAAAAAAATCTGTATTTTTATCAAATCTTAAGAGGATGTTTATAATTTACCCTATATATTTATATATAAATGATCAAAATCACTTTAAAGTTGTGAAAATCATTTCAAAAAAAGTCCCAATCATTTTTCGTAACAAATTACGACCCTGTTTGATGCGTAAAATTATATGGTAGTTTTGGCACAATTCACATGTACTTCCTCGACTAAAAATTACATAGATTATTTTTTTTAATTAATAGTTAGATTTCTCCTTTTATTAGAATTACGTTACAAAAGTAATTAAAAAGAAATCAACAACAATAAACACATAGGTTGTATTTAGTAGAACTTTCTAATTATGGTTTGAAAGTATGAGTTGTATTTTGAGTTTGTGAGTTTTGGATTTATGATTTGAATGTTTTGTTTGATGAAAGAGTTTTGAATTGAGTGGGAAATTTTTGATGTGATATATAATATTTGATACAAAAACTTATAACTCATAACCAAACATATAACTCAAAATTCTATTAAAACACATAAAGTTTTTTTAAAATTTGAAAAATATTTTTTTTGAATATATAAAAAATTAACATATGTCAATTGTAAAAAAAAAAAAAAATTTGCACTGTTCCGATCAACCGGTGGGACGATCGGTTAGTTCAAATTTTCTCGCTTTTAACAAAGTTTTCAAAATTGAGTGTGGAATTACATTTTGAAAATTCTAAACAAATGCCATGAACAAAACATGGGGTGAAAATATATTTAGAGAGGCTAAACACAGCCATAAATACTTAAAATACCTTTCACATTCCTTATAAAACAATACACCCATGTAACTATTTTCCTCTAATTTTTCAATATATATGAACTTTCCTTCTAAACAACATGACAATTATGAGTATTTTTTTACACCAAATTAATTTTTTATATACGTATATGTTTTGAATTGTCTTGTACCAGGAATGTTGGTTATTTAAAAATTAATTTTGCACCTAAAAAACGAAAAAAATCATGTAAAAATGATGAGCATTTTTTTTTATTTTTAATTTTGTACACCAAATTAATTTTTATTTTTTCATAATTAAAAAAAAAATTAATTATAAAAATTAAACCAACCAAAAAGTGTTACGATTGACTTTCCCTATATAGTGTGTATATATGTTTTGAATTGCTTTATATTGGAAAGGTTGGTTATGACAATATAATACGTTGATCTTTAAATAATAATAAAAAAACCAAAAAGAGATATAAAAATAAGAATTCTAATAGGAAACAAAAAGAGAAATAAAAATAAAAATTCTAAGTTTCAATTTTTTACAAATTGATTTTTTTATTTTTCGTATTTTTTGTTTTTAATGAAAATTTTTAAAATTTTAAATTTTTTTTTTATATTTTTTTAGATGTACCTTACTTAGATATATATAAAAAGTAAAATATTTTAAAAAAATAAATAAATACATAAGAATACGAAAACGTACTGAATGTTCGTATTTTTTTTGTTTTTTGGTATTTCGTGAAGTTTTAAAGTTTTTTTTCACAAATATTATATTTTTAAGTGTATTTATGTTAGGTGTATCTAAAAATTAAAAAAATTACTTAAAATAATAAAAAAAATACGAAAAACAAAAAATTTTAATTTTCTGAAAAGTGAAACCAAACAAGTTATAATTTAAAAGTTTAATTATGCTGACTATATTCCTAAATTCTTTGAGATTTTTTTATTTATTTATTTTTTTTCAATAGCCTTGCATGGTGGGATATAGAAGTTTAGTTATGCTAATTTTAAATTTAGGAAAAAATTTATTTCAAAAATGGTTTTGAAAAATAATAATAATAAATGGTAAATTTTATAATATTACTAATTAAAAATATAAACTTGTTAAAATTTAAATGTAAACTCACTCGGAGATAGAAATTGACAATAACCTTGGATAGTAGTAGGTCACTAATTTATCTTTTTATAGGATTTGGTGGGTTAGATGAGGCAATGTTAGAGTAATTTGGTTAATAGGAGAGAAAGATTGAATGTGGGTATTTTAGTGATTGAATGTTATTTTTGACATCATTTGGAATAAAGTTAACAAAAGGAGGAATTTGGCTATTATTTTCAAAAGTAAGAGAGATCTGTGTAATTTTTAAAATTACAAGGGAGATATCTGTAATTAAGATAAACTTCAGGGGATGTAAGTGTAATTTACCCTTATTTAATTAGTTGAACTAGGAATTTGTCATTTCATATTAGTTTTTAGAGCATCAATAATGGTAAATGTTATAATAATATTATTATTGTTATAATTTGAAAATGAATAATAGAAAATGATAAAATTATAACAATAGTGCTCCAAAGGTCAAATGTTATTTTGCAGAATCAAACTAGTCGTCTTGAACACACCAATTTCTATGTTTGGTTATGCAAAAATGATGATTTTGTAAAAATTTATTTGTTTTGCTGGGAATGAGGTTTTACTTGAGTTCGCACATATGACAGCTGTCATATGACACCATTAGAGCACCATTTTCTTCTTTAACTGCCAAATTATAATAATAGTAGCTCCAATGGTAAACCATTGGAGATGCTCTTAGGAGTCTTTTGATAATTAATTATTTAGTTGATCTTTTGATTTTTTATAAAAAAATGCAAAAAAAATAAATAAAGAAAGAAAATAATTGACTTTTTAATTATTTTAGGAGGATTCCAAACTTGATCTAAATGCGAGGAGTTAAAACAAGACAGTTAGTTTAGTGATTCGTGCAATTATTTCTTGAAATAATAAGAAAGTTATAAGTTCAAATTCGTGTCAATAGAGTAATTACGATGTTTTCATTATAATTTAACATAGAGTAAGGTTAGAGATCTCAAATATTCTACTAAAAATTTTACTAAATGTGGGTGTGGGACCCACACAATGTGGGTTCCATGTGGGTCCCACACCCATGTGAGACATTTGGTAAAACTTTTGGTAGAATATTTG